GTGTATAAGAGACAGCTCTCTCTCTCTCTCTCTCTCACACACACACACACACCATGTGTATTTCTGTTACATCGTCAAACATTTGTGTCATGAGAAAGTATGTAAACGTCATATTTATATGCCATTTTCTTCCAGATATAGATGTACGTCAGAACGCGTCGGATGTGCCCTCTACAACATCGTCGTTTATTTCCAGAATCTCGCGACTTGCGAGTTCAAAGATATTCGGGTAAAGTGGAAATGAAACAAAGTTTACATTTTGAGGAGGACTGTTTTGAATATAAAGAATACACCGCGAAAAATATAGTTGATGCATATATACATTTCGCGGGGCCGTGTAAATGCGTTCGGCGCGACTGTGTCGTGACCGTGTGCAATTTCTTTCCTACGAAGGACTTTTTAATAAAAATTATTTATGAAGAATCTGTATCTGTAAACAATGGACTCACATTTTTACAGAAATATTTCAGGGCGCAGCGTACCAGCGGTACGATTTAGATATCCACTGTCACACGAATTTGGATCGCACTCGAAAGCGCATGGGCAACTCCGCGTATCCGTTTTACGACTGAACGGAAAGCACGGGTGCAATTTCAAATTTTTTTTTCTCTCTATCCCCTCGTATTCGTAATTCCCGTCGCATCTCCGCCCACGTGCGTCATCCTTCACGATCTGTTATACTTGCACGGTTCCACCTCATTAGTATTTCCATCGGCCGGGGCGTCTATTATGTTCCGATGTTTGTACTCCCATTTTTACTCCCGATCATCCCAGAGACTCTCATACGTATGCTAATGTTATACGCCAGGTATGGACACCTGCATCTAACGCCATTGCTATACCTATAATTTAATTCCTTTCGAAGGAACGATTTTTTAAAAAATAGTTTTTTACTATGCGACCGTTAAGCACAGCTGCGAGCGAAATTTTATCTCGAAAGATTAAACTACCGCTAACCGAGCTACATTTAACTCGAGTTTCTTCAATTCCAATCGCTGATCCAAACTGATCAAATTCTATACATAATATGCTGTATAAATAATTTCAGATAAAATTAAGTTGTGCCTGCACATTACATTGGAGTTCTGAAAATAAGCCTAATAAATTCCAAAAAATAATGATTATTTATTATTTTAATTATCTACCAATTTTCGCGAGCGTTTTCTTGTTATAATAATTCTCTAACTTTCCGTTTTATATTGATATCCTTGGCAATCAAGTATTGGGTATCTGTATTAAGAATATTGTAATCTCGATACTTTGGGCAGGGCCCATACGATATTCGATACATTCCTCTCTCTACCCGGCTGTGGCAAACTGAGAACCCCTGGCGCGGAACACCTGAATACTTAATAAACGGATAAAATTAACATTAATAACGACTGTCTGCGGCTGATCCACATCTTATCCGAGGACACAAACGCGGCCGCTAGACCCCCACGTGATAAACGTCTTACGATACCTCGTCGAGCAGGGCGAGCCGTCAGTTTTTCAACGTCGTTTCTCTTCGGCACGTCGAATGGGTGACATCAGGGTTAACGAGGACGTGCCGTTTGTGCTAGATCGGGTGTCCGGGATGGAGCAAAATTCGGCGGAGTACCGCGCCGAAACGGTGAAAAACGAGGTAGAATTGCAAATCGAAAGTGATGCGCGACACTATTTGCGATCAACAAAAATGTAACGCCGCAATATTGCGCCGATAATGCGACTAACAACCGTCGTCTTTCTTCTTATTTAATTTGCGCACAAGTGTGGGTCGATGTAAACTTTTGTAATATTAAACGTTCTTCTGTACTGCGTATTTTGTATGAAAATTTTCCAAGAGTTTTTTACATATCTTGCTCTTGAAAAACGTGTCTGTTCTCGTGGAATAATATATATTTCGCGTGTCTATTGTCTATCTATTTTATATTCATTTTTCACTCCTTTCATTGTAGTTAAATGTTTAAATTTAAGGTACACTATTAGAGCGATTTAGCCTGACTTGTATTTTACATCTATTAAATTAGTTATTTTACGCGCTCTATCCCCGAGAAATATTTTAGCGTTGCATTTAACCCGTGTCGTGATTCTTTCGATTCGTTCAACCTACAACAGGGAGAGAGTCAAAGCGTGTCAAGAGGTATCTCACTCGAATGTCAGCACAGCTAGAAAATAGGCAAATTTATATTCCAGTCCGAAAACGAGAGCAACGACGAAGATTACACGCGTTCGCCAGTGTTACTCGATCTAGACGAGAATTCGAAGCAACAAAGGGCAGCGAGTCGGGAAGCAAGCTCGCCGAGTTCGGCGGTGAGTCAACAGGATCAAGGATTGGCCTCAGGTACGCAGGGGAAGTATTTTGAGCTTGTACATCAAAATGCGAAGAGAGAAAGTGACTCGTCCTTATTACACGTATATTAATTAAGAATTTGTCATTTATTACGTCATCGGCGTAATTGCCCGATTTTTTTTACACGGTTTTCGTAGATATGGTTTTTATTATAATTAATGATGAATGCGTGAAATCGCGTCGTTAACCGCGCGTATCATCCCCGTAGACGAAACGACGCGGCCACAGGCTATGAGAGACAGATGGCAAGAAACGAGCTACGAGACGCGCGGCCAGCAGAATCCCGAGGGCGTGCTCGTGATTAGAGTACCGGAGCCAGAAATAATCGGCAGCCATCCGCATCTCGAGATGCTCCACGAGGCCAATATTAAATCGGTGCAGCGGGAGCCGTCGCAGACTGAGAAAGGTGCGGCAATGTCGAATTGCGCGTTGCCTGGTGAGATCACATCCGTCATGATTGAACTAATCTACATGCTTTATAGAAATGCCGCGCGATGTCGAAGATCATATAATATATCTGTCATCCTTGCCATGCTATACAACTTAAGAACTTTAGAAACTGTTTATTACAGGCTTTACTACAGGCATCTTCTGTTCAATTACCGATGCCAATTAAAAGGATTTTATTATTATTTTATATTCGAGACACAAAATGTGCAAAATTCTAACCACACAGAGGATAGATATATTAAAATAATCAAAGACAAATGGTGTGCTAACCGTTTATCAATGAACGCAAATACTGTATTTCCCAATATGTTAACATTATTTTATCTACGCCCTGAATTTTGTCTACGCGCTGAAATGAAACGCGAAGCGAACGTGTTAAGGGGCGCGTTTGTGACGAAAGGGATCAAGCCGAACGACCCGGGCGAAAATTAAATTTCTTTTCAAAGTACCAGTTTCCTTACAGCCGGAGAATTAACAGAGCGGGCTGCTTAATTGCCGAACGTAAACGCCGCCGTTCGCAGTTAGACCTCCTCGCGCGTCCCTCCTAGCAGTCTCGGGTAAACGTGCGCGCAGCTCCCGCTCCAGCAGCATGACCCGTAGATTTTTGTCACGTGTCCGCTGTATCTGTCGCACGAGAATCGAGGGATGACGCTGCCGCTTCACGCGCGACTTATTCTCCGTCACGGCGACGACGGCGGCGGCACCCCCGTGCCGGCCGTGCCCCTCGTTCCTGCAGAGGAAGCGCGAGACATGGAGCGCATGAATAACAATTCGGCCGGAAACGCATGCACGTATTTCGTAAAAAGAACGAGCTATTTTCACGTCACGGCTGCATTCAATTTTAGGCGGCACTGGCGCATTTTTATACCGATGCGCCGCCGTAAACGCGTTTAAAATTATTTGCAGATGTGTGCGTGCGTACGTCGCGTCGTTTTTCTACGCAAAAAACTCGCGCGTACAAATCCGTTGAAAAATTCATAATCTCGTACTTTGTAATCAATTCTAACATTTGCAATAATTCCGCCTTTGCGGAAATCTCAAATGCATGCCACATATAGCACTTCATTTTTGCACTAATTTCTAATAATGGATCCTGTGCAACGTCGAGTTTCAAATTAAATTCTCTTTGACCCCTTTCCTTCAATTAACAATTTCTCTCTCTCTCTCTCTCTCTCCCTCAATTTTCAAATATTTTAAATTTAACTTAATTTCGATTGATCAATTATTTTGTACGCTACTGAACTAACAATTGCTAGAACTGCGAAGTTTTACTTTCGTTAAAAGTTTGTTTCAAATTCTGACGATTTAGAATTTTTAAACAATAAGTACTTTTATTCGCGAGCCACCGCGTACCTATATACGTGATTCGCAATATAGCCGTTGTCGACTCGCTTCAAGCGTATACCACCATCGACGTCTCTTCCGCATCCGTTATGGCCTTTGCCATCCCTCGAGACGCGCTTGACACGCTTGCCAGGCTGCTGCTTGCCGGTAGGCAAGACGTAACCCGTCGGTCCCTTGGCGCCTATTTCGCCGCGTTTTCCCAGGATCTTGGCGAAAAACTGCAGAATTGTTTGGCCGCCGTTCTTCCACCAACTACCGCACTTCTCCTCTCTCTCCTCCTTCTCTTTCTCCTTCTCCTCCACCTCCGCGATCTGAACAACGCGATCGCCGCAATTCTGTTTCCGGTCGACGCTCTCACAGTTGTGCTCCACCCGGCTTCGCAATTCTTGTGAATCGACCTTCCGTACGGTTTCCCGACGATCCTCCTCGGCTTGCGGAAATTCCGCGAATTTTTCGAAATCGTTCGGAACGCTCGGAACATCTTCTCGCCGCGTTAAGGATGATGGATCATCGGAAAGCTCGATCGCTTCGGTCTCTACGCAAATGTCCTGACGGCCTTCCTTATCTTCGAAATAAGGACTGCATATTAATTCGAGACTTATTAACCGTGTCTATGTCAGTTCATAGAATTTTAGCTTGAATCGATTTATCAAAACGTGATATATCATTAATCATATACATCAATTTATTAATATACAATGTCAACTCAATTTATTTTTAGTAAGTTTTGAAACATAAATAAATAAAATAAAAAGATTTTTTTCTAAAATTAATGAAATTAATAACAATTAATAAAAGTTTCTTTGTCGTGAAATACATAATTTTTTTATTCGATAAATTCGTAATGTAATATGCATAAACTTGTGTATTAATTTCGTAATTATTTTTGTATTTGAGCTTATTCGGATTTATCGGACGGCCAAGAGAGACGATTTACATTTACTTCTTCTTACTTCTTACTTTGATCGACGTCTTCGAAGCCTGCCTTGTATGTCACGAGCGCTATTTCGACCGAGCTCCGCTTCGATTCCAACGTCTTGCCGCGACGTCGGCACGTCGTGCCGAGTCCAGCATCCGGACCCTGGACTACGTGAGAGTAATTCACGTCCGCGATCCGCGGCATCACACGTATTACCATCATCCGCTTGCGCGTGTGCGGCAAGGGCAATCGGAAGTACTGCGCGTCGTTCAGTCGCATCCCTTTGCAATATGTATTATTCAAAAAGTGTTATTCAAATTGAATTATTTGATGTGTACATACTTCACATTTCACTCTTTCTTGCTTTACTTTCATTTTTATTCTAGTTTTTATTCACGAATTTCGCGAATTTATTTTATGCAAATATCACGCGGTGTCTTTTTAAACGGTGGATTACCGAATGCGAATCAAACCTCTTTCGTCCCGCCCTCGTTCAATATCCAGAAACTCGGAGAAACAATTAAATAGGTTTTATCACGCAGACTTTTTCACAGAATGCAGTTGCACAACAAACTTATCAAACATCAACATATTAATGTACAAATAGCTGCGTAAATATGCGCGTGTAGCGCAAATAAAACGTCATTGAATTCCACAATATAAATTAATTCAGCACATCTCGATTAACGCTGTTTAAGCATCTTTTTAAAGATGAATAATATGAATAATTTCTTTTGTATCAACTAAGGTAAACCGATAGTATCAAGAATAAACAGTTATCTTGAAATAAATCGCGATCTTAATTGCCTCTATGCAGATTAACGCGATTTCATGTAATTTTTTCCGTGAGACACACGTTGTAGGGGGGCTAATCATCAGGCATAATTATCAGATGCGATATAAATTCTAAATATAAATAAACGAGAATAAACGAGATTATTAACGAGATAGCGCGATATACAAACTGTGAGAAGTTATAAATTTGTGTTACGGAAAAATATTTGCAAAAAGATTTCTCTTAATTTGCTTTTATTTAATATATATTAAATTATATATTAACTTGTATATATAATTTTCTAACCTTTACGACTTGCTTTGATGTTCGTCATTCTTGAATATTTCTTTTTTTGAAGATTCCCTCCCAAAAGATTCTATCTAAAAAATCTATTTAAAAAAGACGACTGGTGAAAAATTTTTTATCATTTCTATTTGATAATTTATTTCTTTTTTTGACATTTTTACAAGATAATATCTAAAATTTATAATCGTTTTTATTAGTCATATTGATCCTTTTTTTGTTTTCCCAATAGAAAGATGACTCTGTAAATCACTCCTCTCAATCCTCTTATAGTTTCATATATACAAAAATATCGCGTCATGGGTCTTATTAATTCAACACTCCAACAGAAAAAAAAATTATATTAAGAAAAGAAACATTATACTTTCAAATATCGTATAGATGAAATGATAAAAATAGTTTGCTTTATTTGCAAACATAAATATAGCTAAAGTAATCAAATTTCTTCGGAAGTTTTCACAATTTATCGGCATCTCTGTGTGCTAAAAACTAAAGTGCTTTTCTAAAAAGTTCAATTTTAGTTCATTCTTTCCGAAAAACATCCGAACTGATTCGTTCGCGCAAGTCGTTGTGACAATATACCGACGACGACGACGACGAGTGCGAGCGTACGCGAGTAAGAACAGTCATTAACTGCGGCGTAATTAACGATTTCAGACTACAAGAAGTCGGCCTGCGATCGCGAACGGACCCGAATGCGCGACATGAACCGCGCGTTCGAGCTGCTGCGGTCGAAGCTGCCGATATGCAAACCGCCCGGCAAGAAGCTCTCCAAGATCGAGTCGCTGCGCCACGCCATCACGTACATCAGGCACCTGCAGAGCTTGCTGGAGCCACAGTACAGCTATGTGCCTGGTGTGCCCGATCGCGCCGGCAGCGGCTATTACGCCGGCCCGCCGCCGCCGGGCCCGCCGACGTCCTACGAGGTGCAACATCCGGCCGCGGCCCGATGGGAGTCCCTGGCTTACTACCGATACGATTATCACGCGCCCTTCGCCACCCCGTCACCGCCGACCTTGGTGCCGCCCCTGCAGCCGAGATTGCCGGTCGATCAGGACGACCGACAGTTCTCTTACGAAGCACGTCACTAGTTCACCCGGTGCGAGAGCAAACTCCCCGTAAAGAATTGATGAATTAGAAAAAAAAGTTGATAGAATTTATTTTGTAATGTTATGGATTTCTAATATTTCCTTGCGAAACATTATAATCCCTTTAGAGGAAATGCACATTCTTGACATTCTCTTGAATGTAAAAAACGTAAAACTTTTCCCTCAAAGGAATTAGATTGTCACTCTAAATTCAATTTTTGGCTTTAGATCTGGATCTATTGACTTCAAAAATATTTATGAAGAATCACATAAATTGCAATTTTGTAAAGCGTGTAAAGATATTCAAGAAGTAAAAAAAAGGAAGAAATATTAGAAATCCATAATATTGCAAAATGAATTCATTCACTTTTTAAATTTATTAATTTTGCGAGGTTTATTCTTGTTAACTGCAATTTTTTATTAATAAAGCAGCAACAGTTGAGTTTTTGAGAAAAAGTAGGAAAGATAAGATTGTGGAAAAAGGTAACACTTGAAAAATACGAATATTCTCATGAATCATGCAAAAAAATGATTCACGAGTATACCTTATTTATAGAGATTAAAATAGTCTCTTTATTTTTCTTCGTCGCTGTGTAATATATCATTTCTGCAAAGTCATTAGTCTCCGGAGAGACCATTACCTCAGCAGGGGTAAATGCTGATAAAGTCACGAATGCTATTATTATAAAATTCATCAAAAGTGCTTAAATTATTCTAACGTTTTCCTGTATTACATAACTTTTTTTATTTATATACATAAATATACGAAAAAATATATCTTTTTCATATAAAATAAATTATCATACAGAATACAAATTGTTTTCTAAAGCATAGAATAACAATAATCGTATACTTACCGAAGTATACGAGAACCACAAAATGTGGAATTTATTGCTGTATTCCTCTACATTATTTCCGTAATCTGTTGACTGTGTGCACCAGAGTAGCGATAATTCGCTTCTCTTACACCGGATAAATACTATATACAAATCTTGTTATGACATACCTATATGATATCTATATGACGGTGTTGTATTTCGTCTGTTGCGCCATGTTCGGCGGGGTAGTGGTCGGATGGATGTGCAGCGGAAGATCCCAGATCATCGTTTCGACATCCAGAGTCGACGGCCCGTGCCAGCTTATGGTGTTCTCGCTGGGCATCTCCATCAGCTTCGGCGTCGTGACGAACTCGAAATGCAACCGCCACTTGAGCGTGACCAGATCGGTGGTGAAGTCCGGCGTGACGTGCAAGGGTATCGGCAGCACCAGGTGCGAGTACTTGAGACCGAGACACATCTCGTGGTGCTTGTTGTAGCTGATCAACGTCGGCGTCGCGGTCTTCCCACGCTTGTACTCCTCCGACACGTGCTCCTCCGACTGCAGGGACACGGACACCTGAACGCAGGATACGGTCGCGTTGGAGAAGTCGAAGGTACCGACAATGTCCTCGCCGAGCTTGTAGGAATTCTTGAAGAGGCAGAACCGCACAACGCGTCCGCGGCCGTTTGTCACGTTGTAAAAATTTGGACTGCGTCTGGCTGTTAAATTCTGAAATGTTAAAAACGCACAATTATGTTAAAGCGCTACGTACAAAATTTTTTATATCAAAATTTAACATTAAGTTTACAAGGATAGTAGATATAGTCATATAGATATTACCTGCAGCGTCTGTAGAGCGATATCTAGTGGAGTCTCCCTGTGCTGCGTTTCCATAAACGGATTGTTCGGACTCAGATCTACGCTATCGTTGCACGCTGTTATCTCCGGCAATTCTGTAAGACGATATATATGTAAATTATACCTTGTGTCACAGAGATATTACCATATAATTTTATATTTTTCCAATCCTTTAAACTATTTACCGCTTAAGGAGAGTACTCTGAATGGTACGCGTAAGAGTTTTATAACTGTATTCACTCTTTGCGTTCCAATTGTGATCTTATAAGAATATTTTACGGCCTGTCCTCGGTATGAAGGTGGTGCGTCACTTGGTATCGTTTCACGATAGATATCTGTTTGACAAAAGAATTTAATAAACTTGAAGAGTGCAAAATATACGAAAGGAATGATTAAATAAAAATATTTAGAACATAATTACGAATACAAGAATTTAATTAGGGTGTGCTAGAGAAACTTACAAGTCTTACTTTCCCCGGGAGACAGTCTTAAATCGCAGCACAAGATTTTTGGCTTTGTATTCAGTACCACATGTCCGTTGTCCTGTTGCCACGGAGCGAAGGTAGTATCTACAATGAAATCGTAATAAATATAGACATGAAACAAGTAGAAATAGAGCAGAAAAGATAAAGATATTTTTCCTAAATTCGTACTTGCATTAATCGCCATTGAGCGAGCTGCAGTATTTATCTTCTCCGCAAGTACAATTTTGCTGTTGGTTGTACACTGGCAATGGACCTGTGCGCTAGCCCATGCAAGACTCTCGAACAGATCACTGTCGAAAAAGCAGTCGACGTTACGAACAATAGTTCATTACTGACAAACACTGTTATTTTCTTACCTGTGACTTTGTGATATTTGATGATTTGGATTCGGGGGATTCGTAAACGTGACCAAACATTCTATAATTTCTCCGGAAAAGTACACAGGACCTCGAACGAGTTTTGCCGTGATTTCTATCATATTGGCTCACTTTCAGGTTGAGATACGAGTATATACTTTTAACATTGTAATTACATTGTAGGTATTGATTATTGACATGAAAACTTTCGTCATCAAGAGACATTCAATCTTCTCGTAATTCACATTCATTTAATAATACGAATGTCTACATATTTAAATTACGTTGAAATATATGTGCCACATATTTATCTGTTAATTTCATCAGAACTTATTCCCATTTATTTCTAAATTTATGGAGAAAATTTTAACACAGAGAAACCTAACCTGAAACGGGACATGACCAGAGGGCAGAGAGAAGTATGACCTCCCCCCCCGACCCCCGTACACTAGTGCCAATTGCATCTATCTTTGGAACTACGTACACAGCCATTGTCGATAAAATGTGGTGCGTGTCCATGCTATGTCCACAAAGCAGTGGATATGGAGAATATCAATATGATGACAAATAATGTTAGTTTGTTACTTGATATGTATGTTTTTAAGGTTACATACATTTATATTTTATTTTTTATAATATACATATTTTGATATCAAAATGTACAATAAAAAGTTTCAATATAAACATACGTACGTATATACATACATATAAGAAGTATATAATCATAACATTATAATGACAGAGATTGAGTATACTTAATAAGTTTTCCAATTATATATTATTAATTTGAAATTTTATATAAAATTTAATTTGGCTAAAACGAATTAGCCAGTAAAGGCCCTCTACCACCCCCGCTATAATTAAATTAACGGTCCTCTTTTGTCCAAAGTAGCTATATGCCATCAATATGATGACAAATAACACTATGCTACCTAGGTAATATGTATTTTTTTAGGTTTATATGTATTTATATATTTTCTAAATTTTCTGGAGTGACTTTTTACTCTTTTGCAGTGAGATTCATTCTAGAAAATTTAGAGAGTACATATATTATTTTATAATATATTTTGATATCAAAATGTACAATGAAAATGT